GACTGTCATTTAATTCATTTGAAATCCCAGTGGACATCCACCAAATCCATCAGTGTTGCGTAGAGCCGTTGTACTAAACCTTTTTTTCACCTACTGACTGATACTCACGTTGTATTTGTATACAGATGGTTTTACCGTACGGTCGGCTATACTCTAGACCGGCGTCGTGTCGCCATTGTGTCACTGATCTTCTCGATTTTCTTTGCAATTACACGCAACTTCATGGTCATTCCCTACTGGTTGTTTATATACTCAATCTACGGAACACCGAAACACATGGCTGCTCGAGAACAATTACCCGGTCTGGATGTGCCCATGTTTGTCTCTTCTCTTATACTGGACGCCCTAAATATCTACTGGGCTCTGATGGTTTATCCTATCGGCTATAAAGCCGCCTACATGCTCTACAAGGCGGACTGGCGTACTGACTTTGATCGAGTACGCGATCGCATTCGTGGTCGTTTTCTGAGTGCTCGACGTCGCGCCATGAATACTGAACTGCTAGCTTCATTGCGCCGCAGCACTTCGTTCAATCTCATTCAACGGGCTTGGGAGGAGTGGTCGCTGATTCCCGAAGATTTCAGTGAGACTGAGTTCTGCACTATGTCCGTGTCAGAGCGTTCCTCACCGCTTCGACGCTACTCAGATAGCGATGACAGCAACATTAATGACGAAGGTAACTCCTTCAATGTCGAATATTTGGACTCGCTAAACGACGAAACTAGCAACGAAATGACATTAAACTTTCGGAGGAAACGGAGTTTCTCCAAGTCATCGGATTAATGTTGAAATTTTTTGTACCACTCTGCTCCTCATAATGATCCTAGATTGTGTATTTAAGCTTCATTTCCCTTATACTATTTTGTTTACTGTAAATAAAAGTGAATAGGTCCTTTGAGTGCCTTAGACGTGGGAGAGAGATTGACCTGCTGTTGGATAGCTTAACATTAAGGAGAAATAGGTGACAGAACCTTTTGCCATTTGGTGGGCACAGGGCATATGTGATGCGTGCGCAGTATTACATTCGGGACGATGACTGGGACGATTATAATTGGTGTAACAAGTGAGTGATTTGTTTATCTCCCAATTTTGTTAAAGGAATGCATTAGAACTCCATCTTTGTGTCTTAGCCGAGTGGGCTGACCATCGGATCACCAAACTCCCCTCTAGCTTAACTTGTATAGTCTGTGCTTGGAATCAAATTTCTGTGTCACAAATAAGGCACTTGAGCTGAATGCT